ACGCCAAAGTTCACGAGAAAGAGCCAGGCGCTCATGAGCTTGACTTCGATTTTGCAGCATCCCTTGTCTTGCTGAATTCTTTCCAGCAAGCTCTCTACCAGAGTCTGCTGCATTACCAAGACTGCACAATAGTCAAGAAGCATGAAAATGACTCCGCGTGTCTCTCTTGAACTTGGCAATGTCAAACGGCACAAAGCATAGACTGAATAGACTGATTTGGGCCCAACAAGAAATGGCAAACATCCAGCTAGGTCAAGTTACATAAGGAAGCAATGCAAAGCAGGAAAGAAGACAACGGACACATTCCACACACAGCACACTGGAACATGGCTGCTGCCATGCATCGTTGGATCCTCAATATGCCAAATTAGAGTGACGCCAGGAGTCAGAAGAATTGAACTCTGCCGCTCAAGAGTTTTGGCACAACATTATTGCAACTGCATGATTCAGCAATCGAACCCTGTGTCCGCTTGCTTTCCTCAATGATCAGTTGCAGTCTTCTACAACTATGTCTCTGTCCCCTTATCCTTGTATCAAAGTTGAAAGACGCCAAAGTTCACAAGAAAAGAGCCAGGCGCTCATGAGCTTGACTTCGATTTTGCAGCATCCCTTGTCTTGCTGAATTCTTTCCAGCAGGCTCTCTACCAGAGTCTGCTGCATTCATTACCAAGGCTGGTTCAATATTCTGGTGAACGAAGAGAGGACCAAAGCTACATGGAATTCTGTCTCTTGCAAAAAGCTTCCTGCCTGTCTCGGGAGAGAGCGCCACAAATTGACCCCAAGGCTGCTCTAACTCCTTGGAAATCATGTCTAGAAGTTTGTCCAGTGTGCGAGTCTCTGTGAAGAATGTTCTTTCCCTTTTGCCTAAACTTTCATTTAACAATATATATATATACACACTCATGTCATGCATCATGAAAGAAAGGCAAAGGGTGGTTGCCTTACGACTACATGAAGCTTCTACTACTTCCCTGGATCAGGCAAAGTAACTTAACACAAATACATAATTTGCCGGTGATGAAAGCAGCGAACCACGGCAAGGCTGCTTTATGTACAAGACATGTTGTGATCTTAACTTCCAAGCAAAGGAACACAAAGCCCAACGTGGGATAGGGAGACCCTTGTTGTCCCAGGAAGGTAGAAAGGACAACAATAAAGTTACCTTAATAGAATTATGTTTCTTGGTACAACTATCCTGTTCAAATCGTTAATGAATTCATGAAAGAATAAGACTTCCTCATCAGCCACGGAACCCACTCCAAAATCGGAAGCTTCGCAAGGCCTAAGGCCTTGAGCTCCGCCGCCGCTGCGCTGCGAGGGTGCAGCTTCGGGTGATTCCTCGTGTCTGGTGAACCTTGTGGGGGCCTAAGAAACAAGAAGCTACGAACGGGGCTCCTGGCATCGCTACTAGGAGCAAGGACACTACTGGGGGCTCCTGGCCGTACTACTAGGAGCAAGTAGCTACTAGTAACAAGAAGCAACCGAATGGTGAGAACCTTGGAAATCTTGGATGGGAACCAAAACGCTTAGGAGAGAAGGGGCATCTTGGATGGGAACCCCGTCTACCTCCTAACGTCCAAATACCTACTGGTCGCTGATAGAAATATATAGATTCAGGTCCATCAAAAAAACTGTCGTGTGGCACTGTGGAGATCCAATGACCGTGACTGCTAGAAGTGTACTTAAAAAAGTCTGGGGTTTTCAAACAAAACACAACTATTTTTCCTAGTAGCGTCCTTGCTCCTAGTAGCGATGCCAGGAGCCCCTAGTAGCGAACATTGTTCCTTCCTCGAAAGTGGTGACCACCCATGTTCGTTCCGCAACGAGTGACCGATCAAGCAAGGCTCGTTTTACCGCTGGACCGGACTGAAGCTTCTTACAGAACAAAGACAATGTACATGCTCGCTTTGCCTCAATGTTGGGTTGGGTAACCGACTATGGATGACTAGGAGCAAGGACGCTACTAGTAGCAAAGGGCATCGCTACTAGGAACAAGGGCCTTACTACTAGGAACAAGAAGCTAGTAGAAACAATATATAAATTGGAATTAAGTTAATTAAAGGAGGCTACTGATACGAAATATGCAAGTCGCTGTTCTTGCAAACAACTCTCTGTGTGTGCGAAGATGTGGTGTCCTGAGCAGCCTCCGCACCGCAGCATCATTCGGCATGGGAGGAATCTCGGAAACGACCATTGTGAAAGGCCACAGGTGAAGAATCTGGGCACTTGGTGTGTTGCTGTTGTTAATGCGACACAAGAATGAGGCACGGCTTTCTACTTCCCCCTCCAAAATGAGGATTTCTTTGATACTGAAATAGCATGAAGTAGCTCTGCTCTCACACCTCTGGCCCTTGGAAAAGCAGGAGGGGGCAAAACTTCTTTGTGGCTTTTTGAGCCCTGAGCCAAAGGCACATGAGCCACCACCGTGCTGTATGCAGCAGATATGCACATTGCAAGGCAGCCAAGTCATGTCGAAAATCACTGGCTCTTTCATGATCGCCTCGCATCATGACTTCACAATCGCCTCACGTTCGTGGATCGGACGATCCCTGGAGACTGGTAGAAGATGCAGTGCTGAAGTCCTTGACTTACATGGAGTCGATGGCCTCAGCCAAGACATGTGCAATGACCTCCTCATGGGGCAGCTCCCACAAACCTTTGTCCATTGTCATGCCGCACCAGTCAGTCACATGTTCCATGACACGTCGCAGGTTGCGCTGGTTCAGCAGTTGTCCAGCGAACCCAACAGTAGCAGTGAGGTGATATGTCTGATGCCACCAGTGGCCGGGAAAAATCAAGGTCTCGCCAGGCCTTTGCACGTATTCCAAAGGCTCTGAAGCCTTCAATTGGCAGCCAAGTGCCCATGTATCCTCGTGAGATGCCATGCCAGTGCCAATTGAGCATAGCTCGTGTGGCCCAGACTTGATACCAAACGGGCGACGGGTCGCTGAAAAGGCCGGTGAATCTGCCGGTTCGTGGCAATAGAATCTCCAAGTTTTCGAACCTTCCAGCAGACAATTCCAACCTGTCCAGGACAACGGATCTGCATGCAAATCTGATCTTGCTCCAACACCACCCAAGATCAGGCAGAGCGGCGACGGGCGAAGCATTTGAGGGAAATGCCTGAACCAGTCATCTTTCAGGTAACTGGGTGCGTCTTCTAGAAGAGCTTCTGTCCCTGAAGACAGAATATTTTCATCCATCACAAGGATGCTATCGTCGTGACAGGAAAACAGGAGCTGTTTCTGTACCTTGTGCAGAGAAGCTTTAGATTTGGTCACCACACCTTGACAATTCCGCTGGTAACACAACTCCACATCTCCACACTGCTCCAGGAAAGCATGCAAATAGGATCTGTCTCTACAGATCTTGGGAAAAGTGTCCCTCAAGACCAGAACCGTTTCACCATCATCGTACTTTGGCACATCTTCCACCTGCGAGATGGCCTGAATGCGGCACATTCGACGCTTGCCCAGGTTGCCCAAGGCACCGATTTCGGCGCTATCTCACCGGCCCTATTTAGAACTGTAGAACCAGACTTTAGGTCATAAAATGAACCCCAAACCGGCAATGACTCTGGTACTTCTCTGAGCAGACCGCACTCAAACAGTCTATCCAAGGTGTTTCGCAAAGTTTTGAGCTCGATGGCTAAGAGTCAAGTCTACAGTCCGAGACAAGGCATTATTATGCTCTGAATCATCTGGCAATCTTTGTTTCAAGGAAAGTATCTTAAAGTCAAGCCCTCATTGCGCTGCTGTTGAATGGTGCACGCACCAAGCCATTTTATCTCATGCAAACTCTGCATGGACTTGGGTAGAGTTGGAACTGATGGAAAGTGCTAAGAGCGGTTCCTCGTGAACTTTTGAAACTCCATGTGTGGCGATGTTCAAATACCTCGGACGTGGACTTGGAGGTCCTGGTAACCTGAGCTGCTTTGAGCTACAACAACCACCGGGTCAGGTGTTTGCTTGGAGTGTTTCGAGACTACAATAACTACTTCAGCTCCGATTCACCGCAAAGCAGTGAAGTCTTTTCAGGTTGCTCATGGTGGCCTTGGTTTCCAGCAATTCCATCAGTGCCTTTGGCAAAGAGGACTATTTCAGTATGCATGGAATCAAGGGTCCTCGCTGCTGGTATGTTCAAACACGCAGACACCCTTTCTTGTCTTCAAGAGCAGCAAGCTTGATGTTTGTATGGTCCAATTAGACTTCGCCCAATGACACATCCGCTTCGCCCCCATGATTCCATACGCTGTGCAAACTTAAAAGCCATGCGATCGGCTCCCTGGCAACTTGCATCAAGGAGTCGTTCGTCCTTCGAATCGGAAAACGATGTGAACGGTCAAGCGTTGAACGCGTCTAGGGGCTGGCACCCACGCGGCGAACGTCGCCAGTGCAACTTGTGCTTTCAGGCCACTCCCACGACGTAATCTCGTCAAGTCAAGATGTGTGTTACTAAAACCACATGATCTGCAACTCCTAGTGTTCATGCTGACAATTCCTCGGATCTAAGGAGGCCTCTTGTAAAGGTGAGGGCTGAATTGATCTGCTCATTCGAAGGGGTTGGAAGCCAAGTCTCGACGACCTCGACCTAAGTGAGTGTTCCAGCTGCGCAAAGTTTCAGGTGAAGCTACTTGTTGAGCAAAGCTACTCGTTGAAGGTGGAGCCCATCGTGATGACTGCTTCCTGCACGTTAGCGTCTTAAGTCTTAAGTTTGCAGCAAAAGCCCTGTATGAGCCGGCTCGACAAACTCTTTCGTGCACGTGCGAAAGCCTTCCATCCATGCCTTCCTCCAAACCTGGACACCTCCAAGTGCGCAGTGTCCTTCTGAAAAACAAGTAAGTCAAAACCCTTTCCATCTGTACATTGCTGTCTTCACTAAGGGTGGATGTTGCCCGCTGTCTACTCTGCTTCGGGAGCTCAGTCCATCTAGCCTGCCGATCTTGAGTCCATCCAGCTGGCGGCGTAGCTCTTGCTTGTGGTTCGAGTCGTGAATGGCCCTTGGAGAGTGAGGGAGATGTCGCTTTAGCCAAAGCAAAAGCTTCAAACAGGGCCGCTCGCAAAAGCTCTCACTACCGATCAATGATATGGCATATGGCTGTAGGCACCGTGGACCGTGGGCCAAGAATTGCTACTATTGGATGCGTAAAGCTACAAAGACACGTCCGTCCAGCCTCTTTGCGTGCAGCTCCTGCACAGCCATGTCCTTCAAGGATGCCTCAGAGAAGGCCGAGTCACAAGAGTTAAAATAAGAGACTGTGGCCAATAGGATGCCTTGTTAAGCCGCTAAGGCTGGGTGTTTGATCAAGCCTTTTGTCGTAGTCTCGGCAATTCACAGAATCCCAGCATTTGCATCAGGCGTGTTTCAGGCATGCCCTGAACATTTCACAAGCCCTTTCTAACAGAGATGTTCAGACTTTGTGACTTGCTGGAACTTTTTTGCTCGCGGATTCCGGCCATGTCTGTACACCTCGCAGAAGGGATCCGGATGCCCTCTCGGAAATCACACACCAAACATATCCCAAGGTGGATGTTACACCCACCTAAACATAATCGTCCCCATGACAAGCTGAGAATATCCGCTGCGCAGCAGCAAGGCGGGTCCAACATTAAAACAAGATAAAACAAGTGCGCTTAAGCCGCTCTGCCCCTGGCCTTCTTCTGGAGGCCCTGTCCAAAGTCGCACAGGCCACTGAATTGCTGCAAATTCATGGCTTCAGCTGTGGGGTCCTCACGCCCCTGCCAAGTCGTCACCCGCAGGGAATCGCTGGTCAGGCCATGGTCCAATTCGCAGTCAACCACATAGACGAAGTCGCATAAGAGCTCTTCTTCCGGGACGACTGGGAGCACATAGAGGTTCCCAGGCCCATGCTTGAACTTGGCAATGAACTGAGCCACCATGCAGTCAAACCCGTTACACACCGTTTCTCCAGCCTCCTCTTTCCTCTTTCGATGCTCCTGAACTTGTTCCACGGTCTCTTTCGGCCAAAGATGGATCAAGTCCGGGTTCAAGACTGCACTCTCAAGACCATCCAGGTCAGACAATCCATTTGTAAAGCGAACACCAGAAAGGAACTTTGCTAACTTGTGCCCAAGGCTGCTGTGGTCACCATCGCAATGAAATTGGGCCTTCAAGTAGATCTGCTTCTTCTTTCCACGGAGGCTACGGAATACTACCAGCCCACCGGTTCCCATCAGGTCTTGATTCTTGTTGGAGGTGTTGGCGATTTCCTTCTTGAGCCAAAATGACCTATCCCGGCTGCAATCCGTTACACCGGCCATGACGTGCGCATGTGAGCCTGTGTTTTGGCGTGCAAAAGCTTGTTGATGCATGGCCACCTTTAGATAAAGGAAGCCCATTGAGCAGTGAGCCCAGTGAGTCCCGGACTTTAAGCCAATCGGCAAAAACGCTAAGGCAATCTGTGCAGGGCACCTGGGAAACCGCGTGAAGTTGAAAAATCTGTAAGGCATGCTCTGAAATTAGCCAATAGCCAGTCCCAAAGAAACTACTCTTGGAAAACCACAGTGAGTCATTCTACACATTGTGGCTCCTGCCTTCTCGCTCCCCAGTTCTGACAATGCATCCAGTTGCACCCTGAAAAAAAAAGCCAGATTGACGAATGCACATGAAAAACACAGAGTTGGCAGCGCCTCATCAGATTCGCTTCTCCTTGGCATTCCAGCAGCTCCTTTCGGGACCTGAAAACAGCAGGGGATCCCTTCTCTCTCTCTCTCTCTCTCTCTCTCTCCGGTCGACGCTTCACCAGTTCACCAGGTGCCCCAGCACTTGAAGCTCTGCTTGCAGGACGGCATGGGCATCTGCCTGCACCTCTCAAGCGAACGTAACGACAGACACCTGAAGGGACAATTCCAACATCTTCAACCAGCACGTAAAAAAGCAGATCTCATTAGATTCCAGAGATTCACATCGCAGGCGTCTCTCACTGAAGCCGAAAAGAACGACCTTTCCCCCTTCAGCAAATCTGGCCGAGAAGCCTCTTTGATGCGCATCTCCTCGAACAATGCAAAAGCTTGGGCCAAGGAAAATCTCAATTGAAGATTGTTCAGATTGGCTACAGAATGCCTTTATTGATGCCAGTTCTTCATCAGCTTCGTTTGGTTCACTGAAAACCCAAGGTCATCTTTGAGAAGCAGTCCCAAACGCTCTCCTCCCGCAAAGCAGTGCTCATCTGCTTTTGCTGGTGCAGCTCCTTGGTCAAGCTTTGAGGCGGTATCATACCTTCCCATGCGTGAAACCTAGTCCATGTTGAGTTGGATAGTTGGGAAATCTAAGCTAGATACAATGTGAATTTGGACAACTACCTCTTAGAGTGACAGGATACAACTATACAACATAACAGCAACCCTTACAAGAACACTTGCTCCACAACTGGACCAACCTTGAAGAAGAGACCAACCACTCTGGGTAGCAAGCTGATTCCAGAGTCCGGATTCGAGCATATGCATCTTCCAACCTTGGCTTCTCCATGTTTCTCCAGACTGCCCAGGCTACTTCTCTGGACCAAAACGGTTGGCTTCCACTTGGCTAAAACGTTCCAAGCCCAGCAGCTCCACAGAAACGCAGCAGCTATCGGGTGTGCGAAGCTCGGTGCCATCCTGGGAGGTGGTTTGGGACGTGCACACGTGCACGCGATTGCTCTGGCCCACAGTGTGAAACCAAATCGACAGAAATCGTAGACCCTCAGAGCTTTCAAGCTTTCCAAACATTCCGACTTGCAAATTTAGAAAGTGGCACCTGATCTGCATTGGTGGAGCGTGGAGTGTGTGTCTCCTCGTCCTCCAGGCGTTGAAGCTAGAGTGACGCAACAATCCGATGTCTGCCCAGCATTGTCTAGAGTCCTTATGTGTTGTTGTATTGCATCGATCCATTTACCAATCGGTCAAACCTGTCTTCCTATTACTACTTATCGGTCTATTAATATTGCTTGCTGCTCACGTGCTCCACAAAAGCAACCACTCAGCTTGATAAGAAGTAGGCTGCTATCTAGCACTGGCACGTACATGTTGTGCTCCCTTTCTCTAGGAGGACTGCCAGGCTTGCTATCTCAAAAATCACATAAACAGCTCAAAGGCGCCGCCGACCTCGGAATGAATCTCGAAATGCTCCGGATGACAAGGCAACCTGCATTCCCACTGAAGGCTGATGATGATGATGATGATGATGACGACGACGACGACGACGATGACGATGACGATGATGATGATGAACATGAAAGCAGTCACACCACCCAAACAGCATGGATTCTCAATTGCAGCATGTGAGGCACACGGTGACCGCACCTCAACTGATGAACTATGGCAGGTTGGGTGGAGCACTCCACATCATTCGCTGCTGGAGCTGGCTTGATTGACTGCCCAGCTAGACCAATCTTCTGCCGGCCCCATCTGAGCATCCTGTCACGAAACAGACTTCTTTATTGCAGTGAGAACAGTGAGAACGACGCTTTTAGGCAACGGCCGCCCGTTCTATCTTTGTCGTGACAATACTTCACTCCTCAGCATGATCTGCACAAGAACAGCGATGTCCATCGCTGCCTGCACAAAATCGGGTACCACAGCAAAAACCGAAGTTGCTCTGGCTGACGAATTGAGGATTGTGTGTAATGTGCTGTGCAGTTCGCATAAAACTCTTTCATGCACAGGCAGTTACACGCATGCAACAACTTGGGCTTCAACAATCATTCAAGACTTTGAGTACTCAAACTCGACTTCAGCGATGACAGAAAAAGATAGAAAAATAATATGCATTTTCATGACCTTCCTTGGGAGTCTTTCTAGCTTCCAGGCGTTATCCCCCAACCTTGAGCTGGGGCATGCGAACAGGCGAGTGCACACAATGATCACAAGTAACATGCCCCGCCGCCAGGAAGAAAAATGACAATGTTGACAACGTCCCGGTGGTCACACCACTATCCTGAAGAAACTTCAACAGGACGGCTGGACGGCTGAGATCTTGCGCGTCTTTCAAAGTCTCAAAAGAGTCTTCGCAGTGGGAAGCTTCAGAAAAGAAACAAGCAGCATTTTGATCAGACTTATAATATATATATATATATATTATGTGTATATATATATAAATGGAATCCCCTGCAGTATGGCCTCTGAACAGTCTTCCAGCCACCTGTTGCGATGGAGCAGCTTGAAAAAACCACGTGACACCAAAAGAATAGTTGTCTTGTCTTTGTCTATCGGGGATACCATTCGGTGAGAACGCATATATAGCTTATATAGCCTATAGCTGACTCAACTACCCGCACACCTGTGACAAGAGCTCGAAGTAGCAGAAATCAGAAAACTTACATGATCACCCGAGGCTAGGATAGATCCCAAGTAGAACTAGCAACTACTGTTGAAGGCCGAAATCCTGCACCACATGGAAACCCCACATCACCTAAATAGATACTGTAGTTCTACTTGTCCCAGGTGGTTCAGGATTTCTTCGCCCTTGGCAAACCCCACAGTAGATGTGAGGGCACTGAAGGGGCACCTGAACTTCAACACCTCAACCTGGAACAAAGGCAGAACCTGGATTGGACAGTCACATATCCTGCCAGGAGGAACATTCCCAAGCAAAGTGCCAGCTTATCCACCTAGGAACTTGCCTAGGTCTAGGTCGTAGGAATGAGTATTCTGTTCCAGATCTGAAGTCTACTCCAGCCCTATCTGACCTATGCTTGCAAAACAGAAATGTCGGGACAAGCAAGAATGCTTACATCAGTATATAAATACTTATATCAAAAAAAAGACTTGGGCTAAGCTTCAACCACTCAAAGAAAAAACAAAGTGACCTGGTCACACCAGCTGCCATCGGCGCAAAGCGCTGTCGCCAGCACACAGGCTCCTCCCCCGAGACATGCAAAAGCGGCCACAGTGCCACAGCTTCTGTGCTTCAAGGCTGGCAGAATGGGTCTTCGTGCAGTGAAATGTTCCATCGGTTTTTGTTTGTCTGGTCTGAGGGATGCTAAGACCCTGTTGTGCCGGCCTCTATTCCAAGGGCCCAAGAACCTCACGTCAGCCGTCGGGAAGGTGTGAGTAGAGCCGTGAACCCCTGCCTGGCACGTCAGACAGCTCTGCAGAAAGGTCCTGGCCGTGCTGCTAGCAAAACATCACACATCTGTGACCGTGACAAATCTGGTGCATGATAAAACCACCTGTTGGGCTCCGTGAAACCTCACAACCAGAATCCTGTACCAAGACAAAACTTCACAACTCAATGAACCCGAAGCTTTTTGTGGATACAATCCTTCAGCCATACATGCCTCGTGTGTTTTCTTTTCTTCTACAGTATCGTGATATCCTATGCTTTTCCAGGGCCATTTTAGGGAGGCACTAGAACATACTTGATATAGCATTGAAACTTAAACATTGGTGTTTGACTGCGGAGCGCCTCCTGCAAAGACCTTGCGCCTGGCGCACGAAGAGTGATCACGGCAAAAAGAGGCCAACCTCCTTCACCTCTTCACCACGTTTCCCCCACTCCCACTTACTCTTCATGACTGTGTCTCCACATGCTCCTTCCACTGCCTTTTCATCTCGGCACTAGTAAGGTTGCCCGGCCTTCATCCTGGTGAATAGCATCTTGCATCCATTGAGGAGGCAAGAAATTTGGCCCCTCAGTTCACCCAGAACGACCCAAAACCAGCAAGGCTGCTAAGCCAAAGCACACAATCACACCAACTGGGGCAGGACATATTTTCTGTTTCAGCGGCCTCCGCAGAACCGCGCGGAGAAGGCAGCCGAGGAGCCGCAAATCCAAAGACAATGCTCAGGGCTGTAAGAGACGTCCAGCTTTGCATGGCGGAAACGCACCAGACACGTCCAGCGTTGCACCGATCTTCAACGTTCCACATGCATCACAGCATGATGAACACCCGTGACGAATCTGGTCGAACCAGGTTCAATCTCATCACAGCAATAAAATGAGCTACAGGCTACAGTACGCTAAATATTCAGCACCGTTGTGTCTACATTCTTGTGCACCTCTTTCACTTGGGTGTGTATGCCATCCAAAGTTATGAAATGTGTCACGTTTGAGCCCGAGAGGCTGCGGCATGCATGACAACATCAAACCCGAAAGAGGCATCACCAACTGAATTTGCCTCAACCCGCTCGACGCACGGGGGAGGCGTACCCTTGCACTCCAGGGCTCCTGGCGTCACTCCATTGACTCCTCTAAACGAGTACGATACCACAGAGTTAGAAGCTTCAGGAATTCAAACAGGCATGGAGTTTGGGTCTTTTCTCGCATTGTTTTGCTAACGCATTGTATGAAAGAGGTTATGTTTGCTCTGAAAACATGAGTTTCAACTGTTCCAAGACGTGAACAGACTACGTTGAAACGAGAAACTAAGTGGCTCTTTCTGATCCAACATCTGGCAAATCACAAATGTCATCACAGCATCAAGCCTGCGGTCTTGCTTGCCTCCCAAAGTTGCAGGAAAGGGATTGATTGTCAGGGCTTGCAATCAACAAGCAAAAATGGCTTTGTACCTAGCAATCTGGCAGTTCATCGCAAATGCAAGCTGCACCCATCGACTCAAAAGTCCGCGTCTACTCTCCAACTCGCACCTAGGTGACCTGCGGCTGGTCGATGGGGGAGGAGCTTCCAGCTCCTTGCAACAGAACATGCAAACAAAAAGGACTGCAAGCAACTTATTCTACACGCCGCAATCATGGCACCGTTGCTTTTAAGAATACAAGGACCCTCAATGACTCATGATGCGCACGTTTGCACACTGAAAATGTCAATAGCTAATTGGAAGAGACTCATGAAATGCTCGCATTCTTCAACTATACTGCAACCTTTTTGATTTGGATTCTGTGCCTGAATACCAGCTCTTGCAAAATGATACAGTCTGATTCTCTCTACTCGACTCCTGGCCTCTCTTGAGAACCTTACAGCCCAGTCTGGGGTCGCTGCTCGTGACTGCGACCAGCTGAGGTCACCCTGTCGCAGGGAAGAGAGTCTGGACATGGGACCGACGTGGACGACGTCCAAAGATGCATGGGATGATTTGAATTCTAATTAAACTTGTTTCTACTAGCTTCTTGTTACTAGTAAGGCCCTTGTTCCTAGTAGCGATGCCCTTTGCTCCTAGTAGCGTCCTTGCTCCTACCATGTCGTGGAAGGATGTTTTTTACACAATGCATGTCTGAACTCGATCTTTTCCGACTGGGCGAAACCCTTGCTCTCCGTCTGCTCTGACGAAAGCGTTCGACCTGGAGAATTCTGAAGCTTTGTTCCAGGGGGATTGGTTTGCTCCTTCGCGCAGCTAGGACCGCGGCCACTTGCTCCATTGCAGCATACATTCGGCCTGTTGGATCCAAGTCCTGCAGAATCATGCGCAACAAGCCTAAACAGAGTACAGCAAGTTTAAACACTGATGGTAGTGCAAACTAAAGAAGCAAGGTGACCGTCATGTTCGAAAGTCACAACAAGGATGGCACGGCCCCGTGACGCTTGACATGACTTTCACACTCCAGTCAATGCGACGTGAAGCGACGTGACAATAAGGGTGCTCTTTCTTCACAAGCCCAGTAAAGTCCATGAAACTTCTTCAGCACTGTTGCTCCTGTTCTCTCATGTCTGCGAGAACCTCCAGCGCTTCCATCCATTGCTTTGAGGAGGCCAAGGCAGTGGCCATAATGCTAAAGCCCTCAGCATCAGCTATGTCCTTCAAGCAACAAAGATTGGCCAACCCACAGTTCCTTTGTCCTTCATATCATCCATGGTGTTTCTGCACTACCCCGTTTGCAGCATCTGCAAGAACTCGCTATCTGTTTCGCGTGTCGCTTGGACCACTGCCTTCGCATCTCTCCACAGCCACAAAGCGCGTTGCCATTCTGAGCACAGCCCCAAAGCTGTGATGCTGGAGCTGAAGTGACGCGGTTCTGGAACCTGTGGGACGATCTGAAGTGGTGAGAAGGCCATCGTGTTCCAGCTCAAGTCGTCGACTCTAAACAAGGTTGAGAGTAGCAATATATATATATATATATTTATATAGTCGATTGATAATATGGATTGTGGCCTGTAGGAATGTCTCATCTTAGCACTCACCCTTCGCCGAATCGCCGAATTCCCTTTTTGCCAAAGTGCCAGGTCCCTCTTCGACATCTCTTCCAGCTGTTGGAGCGACTCCTGGGTCCAATCCGTCCGTCCTCCGAACACGACCGCCGACACGAAGCAGTGGACGAAGCGGTGCCTGCCACTGCCCCAAGCGTCCATAACACGCGATGGCCTCGTTGAAACCTCAGGAAAACAAAACCGCAAGTAGGTTGTTTCAACCATATAAGGCACAGTAGGTGTTGTGGTTAGCTCACAAATCACCGTGTGAAGAATGCTTGAACGGGTGGAGAGTAGACAAGGGCAAATATGCGCACATTGGGAGTCTCCTCAGACATTCATCAAGATGACGATAACTGTACTGTGTGAGTGTGTCATAATGTTGCAGTTGCTCGTGCTCAAAGTGTCGCACCTCTGGTTTCTAAGTGTCACACCAAAGGGAAAGAGCAATTAAAGCTTCATCTAGAAAATCCTAAAAGGGCCAGCAGCTTAAAAAAGAACACACAATTTGACCCTTAACCCTGCCCATCTCTGGCATTTCCAAGCCTCTTCTGCACCATCTTCTGGCTAGTGGCTCATGGCATCCGCAACCACGCCATCCTGTGCGAAGTTGTGGAAAATCTCCAGCGCAGTTGCAGGGGCGGAAGGCCCCACGGCCCCCATCACGTGGTTGTGCGAGGTCACCTGAGCATCTCAAATCCTTGCAGTCACACATGACAAGGCCACTCTGTCTTTTTGGTGACAGCCGGTTATGCACTTGAGTCTTGAAACACTGACCTATGCATCCAAGCAGTTCAGCTTCATGCATGCAAAGATTTTTGCCAAGCTGCACTGAGCCCTGGCGCATTGCGTAGCAACATCCACATGGTCATGGCTTTTGGCCATGAGCAAGAGCCCATGATCTGCCAGAAGATTTCTCTCAGAAACAGGAGAAAGCTCAGGACTCTCACCAAACCCAAGCTTCACAAGCCCATTGAGCCATCACTACCCTAGGCTAAAGGGCCTCATGCCGCCTAGTGCCAACTTGTTGTCCACCGTCCAATGCTGTGCCTCTTTCACCGTGTCATCATTGGCCACCACCTCCAAGGCACGGTTTCACCAGGTGCTCAAGCAAACTCCCAATGGTGAAGCGAACACAAACGCTAAGGGGAAGGAGCAAACATGCGGGCCGTTCGTGCCGTGCTTTTCTTTCCAACCCCAAACATTCGGAGCGTGAGTCCAACACGTCTGAGGGATGCTGCAGTCACGTGACTCGGTTCGGGGTCTGTGAGTTCGGGTTTGCTCAGGCGGCGTTCACAAGAAAAGTAGGGTGCATTTTGCTTGGGTCTGCTGAGGCCCATGAAGCAGCAAGACTCAAGACATTGCCAGGTGTTACTCCCTGGCGACAAACAGGAACGACGACACGTATGTACAAGCCACGTACGTATGTACAAACCACATACGTATGACAAAGGATCGATTAAACGAGGAGATTCTTTGCACAAAAAAGATTGCCAACACGCAACGATCATGCTGCGGGTTTCTCGCACGCATCATGGGCCATGTATACAGGGTTCTGACGTGAGACTGAGACCGTTTGACCTGTCAAGCGAAACAAAGGAAAAGCAAAGGCCCCCTTTAGAAGTGGCCTGATCCTGTCGCATCATGTTGAACAGGGTGAAGGCAATCTTCCATCTCCTGATGTGATGTGTCTCCAAAGAATCTAGAAACGGAAGTGGAAGTTACAAAACAAAGGCTCCTGGTGATTAGTTGGAAGGCCATTGGAAACAAAAAGAAATGCTTCCATATAACATATGTCCAAGTCAGTAGTTTGCAAGTCACAAAGGCGAAGCTCATGGACTGATATAAACGCCATCACCAAAAGCCAAGCAACTTTTGCTCCACACAAGCACCAAGTGCAGCGTTGTAGTGGGCCGTCAAGGGTGTTACCTGCGTTTCTTCTGGGTGGCATAACCTGCTGGAATCCAGCAATCTCACGACTAAGCAGCAAATCATTTGGCTTCCCATGTTTGTTCCAAAGCAGTCTCTTCCTTGTGTTACAAAAGGCGCGTCTAAGGCTTGATTCCGCATGCTGTCAGCACTTGAGGCTTCCAGGGTGGAACATCACTGATATAGTTAATGGAGTCCTTGTTCCGACCCCCCTGTGATGTGTGGTTTGGTCATAGTTCTAAGTGCCAAGAGACGCCTCACATCCGTCTGTTCTTTAATAGCAAAAAGGTCAGGCAAGGCCTCCTCTAATAAGGCCCCCCTTCAAAGGGGCCTTGTGAAGAGAGCCCCTCTCCTACTTTTTTTAGCTTGTCAAAGCATGCCCAACTCCTCGAGGCCGTCAGATCTACGCATCAAAGTTTGCCTCACTGGCCCGCAGGATGTTCATTGTCTGCAGGCTCATGACCGGAAAGCTACTCTTCCTGAGTGCACATGTCTTCCAAAACTTGGAGGATTGACGTCACCGAAAGAAATCCATGTTGACATGTCTTGACATGGGATCCATTCAAAGCGTTCTGCCAGGCTTCGCCAACGTCTTCAGCACATGGGTTGCCAACTCTGGGTTCCACTTCCAGGCCTGGCAACTCATGCGCTGGGCTTCACCCAGCATGCCGCTCAGCTCCGAAACCAACGCGCGACGCCTTCAGGAGCGGCTGCACCTTTCGCCGGACGGCGGCTTCCGAGACCCGTGGGCCTGAGACCGTTCTTGCAAAGCGAACGCCAAATGGCCGACATGGGCTTCTTTCCCAACATGGAGAAAAATCCTCAACCAACAGGATGTCATCAGGTTGCACTCAACGGATCGGAGTACTCCGAAGTTCCTTCACGTCCAAGTTTCCTGTTGTCTTTCTGTTTCATCCTTGCTTCTGTAACCTTATCCAAGCTGTACCGCCTCCTCTCGTTTCGCTCTGTGAATTGACTATGATCAAACCTGTGGCAAGTGTCCTCGGAGCGTCGTCTTCCCAAATGGGCCCAGACGAGTGTCAGTCGTCTTCGGAAGACTCCGCGGCGTCGCCCCCCGTGGTCTCTTCCGTCCTGCAGGGTCCTCGGTCCCCGACCCAGCTGCAGAAGGCCAGCAGCATCTGCTCGGATCGGAAGCTTCCTTCGTGGTGTTCGAAGGGATTGAGTCAGGAGCGCATGCACGGTGAGCACATTCATGATGCTGATTGGAGCGATTCGACACAGGGACTCAGAGCTGAATTGGGTCTAGGAGGAAAAAGACTCGACGTGTTCATCTCAAATCTTGCCTTTGGAGGGAAACTCCATCACGGTCACCTGTGCCTGGCCAGTGATTATATCTCCAGTGTAACACCTTAATTGAAACAAAAAGCTGTTCAGAAGCTGCTAGCTTGCTAGCTTTCAAAGTTTGGTCGCCTTCGCCGCTATTCCCCCAGACGCGTCCACTGCGCCGTCCCATGGCGTCTGTCTTGAGAAGCACATTAGAACATTGTGTTGAAAAGAAGAGTCTGACGTTGCGGCTTTGCAATACGTTTCATCTGATCAATATTCATAGGCGTGAGAGGCCTTTCAAACTTACCTTCACTTCAACTAAGCTGGATGGCGGTACACACTAGCTTAGACTTGTTGCGGACAATCAGATTGTTTAGCCGAGTTTAGCGCTCCAACCATTGGCCCATCCGAGGTTTGCTTGGTCAGTCTTTCGGCAATCGAATGAGCTCAGTGAGCTTTGACAGCTTTGAGCCATTTAAGGCATTCTAAGTTCTAAGCAAATACACAAGCCTTAGCTGCATTAGCTTGCTTCTCCAAATCGCTGCAGGATTCGAGATCCTTTTTCCGATCGGACATCAAGCTATCAGAAGTGCGGAGTCCAAAGTGCGGCTCATCCAGGAAGCTTTTCTGGCTGAAGAGATCCGATATTCGGTCAACTCGTGGGACACTGCTCTGGTGTTGACACACCTTTTCTTCAACATGTTCTTGCGCTTCAAGCTTGTTCAGAGACAGATTCAAGGACATGTCAGTGGAAGCTCCAAAGTGAGGTTCATCCAAGAAAGTTTTCAGACTGAAGAGTTCCGAGGGTCGCTCAACTCGTTCAGCCTCTTTCAACGGCGGCTCTGCCTGCTCTCCTCGGAGCTCTTCTAAGTGTTCAGCCAGCGTCTTGCGGGAAGATGCCTTGGGGCGAGGGGCCACAGCAGGAGGGCACACCTGATTAGCTGGAGGCGAAGGTTTGACAAGTGCCTGCTCTGCATCTGCTGCAGCACTTGAATAAATTGGTTTGCTGTTTGGCGCAGATGTCAGTGCATTGGAACCAGGTATGGCATGACTGAAATCTTTGGAGTCTTTGAATGGTCTCACACGGCTTGGAGGAGCTGCCTCCTGCACGTCCAAGTTGTAGTGAAGCTCTTGCCCGACCATTAAGTGGCCCTGAACGATCGCTGGAATCCATTCACCAGTGCTCCTAGAGAGGTACTGAACATGCTCCCCAAAACACAAGACTTCATGTTGACCTGAAGGAGCCTCATCGGTTGGCTGGGCCAGGCTTATTTGGCTGGGTGGAGAATCCCTGGGCATTACCCGGCTTGGATGAGCAGATTCCTGAACATCCAGATTGTAATGAAGCTCCTTGCCAACCATCACGTGGCCTTGTACCACGGCAGGGATCCATTGTCCAGTCTTGCGAGACAGGTACATCACAGCTTCCCCAAAGCAAAAGACCTGCTGCTCCTGCGTCATCAGATCAAACGATCTTTCCAGTGCTGCTCACTCGCAACATATTCACTGGCCGTCAGCCACATCACAGGCGGTGCCCAAATTGACAGATCACCACATAGATGGAATCTCTACTTGTGAGAGAGGCAAGGCAAGTTATTGCAGTGATGCAGATTTGACTTAATGTGTACCTACTGAATGTCAATACTACTGGCTCCGATTTCCTGAAATTATCTTGGAAACTCTGTTCGACCAACCGCTTGCAAGCGCTTTCTCTTTCCTGGTTGTCATTATCACTCAAGCTTGGAAAGCAGGAGAGAAAATGCTCGCATTTAGCATGCAAGACGAAACTCATGAGGCCACACATCTACCAAAACAAATTTACATCCTGATTCAATTCAAGTGGACTCTTTGGAAAATAACAATTGACAACTATTTCTGTGAGAGAAGGTGAGAAAAAGAGGGGGAGGAAGAAAAGAGAGAGAGAGAGAGACACACACACACACACAGACACACACAAACACAGAGAAACAAAGAAAGGCAGAACCTTGGACACATCCTACTTTTCTGACTTGGCTCATATAGCCTTCGTATCAATCCTAGCATCCATCCTAGCCTAAGGTTGAAGCCACAATTATAAGAATTAAGTAAAAGAACTGCAAGCCGGATAGCTGCCGGCTCCCCTGCAAACTAACAATTCTCGAAGCATTTAAAATGGCTCGATCACAAGACAGTCCTGCTGTGCCCTGCCCTACGTGCGCACCTTTTTGGTTGGGCAGATTCGGCCGGTTTCCGCATGAGCTCGACGGGGTAGGAGTGCTGCACGTTCAGGGATTGCCTAGTTTATCGAACAGGAATGTCATGACTCATTGTCTGCCTCGAATCACTGGAAGCATAGTGAGGGCAAGCTGGGCTCCAGCAGCATCTGGCTCCTCAAGGGACCATGTGCTCATTTGATCCCTGTCTTGTTTCACCTCTGGATGGCTAAGATTGGAGGCCAGGCGCTGTACTTGCATCGCTTGTCCGAGTAGTAGCATGAGCAAGGCCATGAAGGCATGAGCCCAGGTGGCTCGAAACATAGTTTTCGGTCACTGGTCGTTCAATAAGGCGTGACTTGAGCATGAGAATGCTCTCAGGCAAGCTGTTCAATCTGCCACGTGAGTTTACTACTCCCTCTATTCCCAAGAATGTCTGATCCTCTCCTTCTTTCGCATTTTGTTACAGGAGAGCTTGCACACTAGCCCTTTGATGTCAATTCCAGATCAGAAAATGCGGTTCCCTTCAGATCAAAAACTCTCGTCGCTACTCCGCAAAGGCATTTTGCATCACAATAAGAGGGATATCTTCAAGAGGAGCAATCAAAAGGTCTACCATCAGGAACAAGCTGCAACTCAGCTAATGTCCCCTGTCACGTCACATGTCTCAAATGAGTTGCACATGTGCCTGCCTGTACAACGCACGTGTGTCAAGAAACAAAACAAAGCCCCTCTTCCCGGACCCTCGAATGGGAAGTTGAGCCCTCCTCAAAAGATGCAAACCAAGCTTTAAATCGTCTTGCCAAGCGAAGCTAAACGGGGAAAATGCGCTGTGTTCAGCTAAAATCCGGCAACCGTTGGTTACTGAGGGTTGGCTGGCGTTGCGGCACTGGAATATCCTTGGACTTGGTGCGGGGCAAAACACCAAAAAACGACGTTGAGTTCCTTGTGTGTCATCATAGTTTCATCCATGATGTATGTCCTCCTGACTAAACTATACTAAACTCGTGCTTCAGAGGACCAAAGGCCAGAGGATGCCGAGGCGCGGTCACACGCTCACACACCATGTGGGCCCCTGCATTCATGAGCTCTTGGAAGCTGTCGGCACCGCTGAGCACTCCCACCACCAAGCCACAACCCGCGTTGCCTTGGTCGAAGCAAACCAAGCTAATTTCAAAGCTAACAGGTTCGGGATGACTCCATATGCGGCGAACACTGCATAGACCTGTTCTGATAAAGAAGAACAAGTCTGAAGGTCTGCGCGGATGACCTTTCTCCCGGAACACCAAAAGGTCTCAACAAACATCAGTTTTGAGATCGCCCGCTTGAGGACCACATCGCCGTCGAGGAACGGCCTTCCTGGATGTCCCGCACGGAGTCGCCCACTTTGCAGACACGTTTCACATTCATGACCTCAAAGCGTGTCGAGCGGCGCATGCAAGCGCATCAACAAATGCCACTTGCTGGGGAAGCCATGAAAGACAGAAGCTGCACGTTTCAAGTGAGTTACACGGAGTCTGGGTCATACTGAAATATCGACAACTTATGCTGGATGTCACGTTTGATGCCCGACACGTTTTCCGCACCTTGGTTTGCTCCATGAGGTGGTGGATCATGTACGGATACGGTCGGCCCTCAGTGACCTGGCCGTTGATCTGCGGCGTCGTCAAAAGGTCTATGAGAATGTGGCTGACGTCTCTCGAAACCTATCCCATGCAAACAGAGTAATACACTTCATGTACACGGGACCTTCAACGGCTTCCCCCTTGCTTTTTTCCAAGGTGGTCAATTGCCTGATAGGAGGAGATGTAAGCATCAGCAACTTTGTCAAAGCCCAGGCGCTTGATGAGACCTTGCCTCGGCTTGGGAACAAGAGTCAACCAAGGAACTGTTGTGCAGCCAGGGAACTGGATGTTCTCCGGATAGCCAGTATCCTTGCTCACATCACGAACAGAAACCCGCTTTATTGTTCTCCAGCCGACACGGCGTACCAGAATGTAATGTGCAGGTTTACAGGGGGTGGCTCAGGTTTGCTTTCCCATAAGTGCCGAACAAAAGCAATCTTGATGCCAGCGTCTTTCAGTTGCCTGCTTTGGGCAGGAACTCCCATCCTTGATTAGGGGTGTTTTGATGCTGCAACAAAATCCCAGCCTGAAGTAGCCTAGAAGGCCAATGTCAATGTGGTCAATAGCCTTCGCAAGTTCAAGAGCCCTTCCAGAAAGCATTGAAAAACTTGATTGGCCGATTGAAATCGGTCCAGAAATGGCAGAACCACTAAGAAGAGGGCTGACGCTTCGTTGAAGTAAGCATCATCAATAGCATTCACAAACCTGGGTCTGGAAACAAGGAAGAAAAGAACATTTGCCATCAACCCTTGCTCAAAAAGCACCAGCCATTCCTTGCCGATCCCAGGGCATTTAGCACCATCAGTTTCACTGTTCGTCTGTCCAGCTTTAGGGACGAAGCCAGTCTCCGATACGCGTCACCCGTTCCATCACCTCCTCCGGTGGTGTTCCAGCCTTGCAAAGCTCAAGCTGCGAAAGATACTCTCAATGCTCTCAAGGCGCTCCAAAAAACGGCCCGTGCTTCAGGCTTTTGCAACGCATCCACATGCAACATGAAACATAAGAAGAAAGGTTACATAATGACTACAGTAGCTTAGAATGGAAAAGAGGCCCAAAAGGGATGCTGATCCTTTTTCGCTGGCTCCAAACTTCAAACACCAATGAGAAAACTCTTTTCTGCCTTCAGTGCAAAGTGCTCAATCACCGCCTCCTTCTTCGCCTTGCACGGGTGTACTGCCATGCAATGTTGGATGAAAATCTGTGCCATTTCGTTCACAGTGAGCAGCTGTAGAATGCTTTGGCAATGTACGGTATGGTGAGCATCTTTCTGTTCAAACTGATGGGACCAAGCGTGGCAGCTGCTTTGATAAATGTGCTGCTGAAATATACTATTGTTGCTGCATCATTCCCCATGGAAGTACTCATCTATAGAAATGCAACTAGAACTTGAATGAATGTCGCGAAACAAGGGACAAGTGAAGGGAAACTTGCCACTGCTGCAGAATGCATCTGAGGAACTCCATGCCAAGCATGCCTGAGCTATGGCTATGGATACAAAACCCTGCAATTACATAGTGAACACCAACTCACTCTGCATGATGTATGGTCCATATAAGTAGTGAACACCTGCAGGGCTGTAACAGACTGGATTGGAAATGTCAAGTGTTCCTTCAAAGAAAAGACCTCGCCACAAGACCTAGCAATCCAATAGTGTAGACCAATCCAATAGCTATAGACCGAGCCACATCTCCTCATCAGAGACTTTCAGCCCGTCCTCACCTTGGAGACCAAAGGAAACCTTAAGCAAAGGACCTGTCTTTATATCCTATATATCTTTCGTTGCTCCATTCACACTAGATTAGATGCTTTTAGATGCTTAGAACAAAAGGGCTGGAAGGCCAAGACTTCATGTTCAGCTGGTAACCAGCATTCTGGTCTTGTTCAATTCGAGGCTTCATAGAGTCGTTCTATCTTAGCAGTGGCTCTCGTGTTCCTGAGGACTCCAGCGCATGGCCCGTTGCAGGGTTTTGTACACAATGCCGCCTTCCTGCAATGCAGAGAATTCGTCCCCTCTGACCGAGAACTTCGACCAAAAGCCGTGGGTCCTGAACCGTGGTGCCGGCCATGTCATAGACGATCAAGTCAATGTCACTCAGCAATGTGCGAGTCGCCTCAGCCACATATCGCGCCATTTTGGTTGCTGAATCGGGGATATTTTGCTTCTGAATCGGACTTTATTCGCCACATCTGGAGGTTTGCTCTTCCATCCAGTGCTTTACCACCTCTAAGCCTGCCCACTCCCCGCCTTCCGCAGCATACTGGAAGAGAGTGTGATCGTCTGTTCCGGCATTGCCTGTCCATCAATCTCTGGTTCTCAGCACAGACGGCACAGACATACAAAGCATAGTAACGATAGGTTTGATGAGTTGGAAGCGCTTGGACCCTTGGAGAAAAACATTTGACTTTGAACACCCTGTTGAGATGAAGTTTACCATTCCGTCATACTTGCCATAGGTCGATGAAGATAATGGTTGAACAGGCCTTGGTTCCGACCAGTCTCTTCACACCATTCACCTGGGATGCCAAAGCGTGCTGGAAAGCATTGCGGGCATCAATCTAGAACAGAAGTCGAGAAGTGCACAGAAGGACCTATGGACTGAACACCTTCTTTGGGCTCTCCTGTGCTTTCTCAGCCACCTTCGCTGCTTGCAATGCAGGCCGGTGCAAAGGCAAACGCCTCAAAAATCAAACAATATACAGAGAATAGCAAACGTGGGACAGGGTCAGCCCAGGCACCTCAACAATCTTGTGACCTGCATGATCAGGCAAAGGCTTGGAGGAGGCAAGAGCGAGAGAACCTATCAATTGCAAGCGGTTGTTTAAGTCCTTATAGCAGACAGCAATATGTCGGAGAATTTCATAAATGCAATTTCGATCCCCTGTGCCATGTATGTCTGATTGCTTCAGGAATACATCATTCAGAGTCAATTCACCTACCGACTGAGCCCATGCTACAGGAGCAAGTTCCCGAGAACAGTATTTGTTGCGGCCGTCCCTCCTTGAGATTTAATGCCTTTGGTTGGAAATTGCTGCCAAAACAGCATATTCTAGATGCATATTTCAAACAAACCTCAGCAAAATAACTAGTACTTAGCTGCTCAGAATAGCCACTCAGCTCTCAAGCCAGCCAGCACAGGGGGAAGTTCGCACCGACTCAGGAGTTGGGCTCAATGTACCTCACAGGCAACGAAGTATCGGAACTCCACAAGAAATGCATGTTTTTCCAAACAAAGGGCTGTCCGACCTGCGTTGAAACCCCCGAAGCCGTGGCCAAAGTCGCCAAAGCCAGCACCGCCAAAGCTTCCAAAGCCATCAGCTTGCCAACTGCAAAGCGCCGAACGCGAAAAAGAACGAGCTTCGAGGGCCCTTGATCGACCAAATCGAGGGTAATCAGACCAAAACTGAACATGGTCGATCAACCCAACAGTTGCAAGATCTTCAAGAAGGACGACATGGTCGATCAACCCAGCATCTACACTTGCTGTCTAATGGACAGCCTGTGATTTGCCAGAGGTAAGAAGAGTGAACGCCCATCAAGCTGAGACAGTCAAATGGGCCTGGTGCCAAAGTCCGCTTGAACCTGACACAAGGCGATCTATCTAAATGAAAGAAATCGTCTTCTGAAAGACTGAGGCCAAAAGGCCTTCTTAAACCAAGCTGCTTGTGGTGAGGCTTCGCTGGTCCCCTCGGCAGAGAGCTCGCCTTGCGAATGGCTCTTGAAGCGCTTGAAGCCCGACTCCACATGCGACCGCACCAGACAAAGAAATCGCTTACCAGAGTGATCTGGCATGATGGCGTCTATTTGACATTTTCCTTTTTGAACTTTGCTCACCTGGAAGCTCACTGTGACGATGTTTGCCTCAATCTCTTGCTCACAAAAATCTGGCATTTCTGCACAATCAGAGTGTAAGCCAGGCCTTTCTTCTTTTTCTTCTTCATTTTGCGCTCTGCCTGCCGAAGCTCGGGGAAGATTGTGTTCTCACAGCTTTGTGCAAGATCCATGTATCAACTAACTAACCAAAACAAGGCCTCCTCAGTTGAAGCAGAGCCCGCATGCCTGCTTTTCAGCAAAGCAACAAGCAAGATGCACAGCTCCGAGCCAATGGGTGTTGACAAAATAGAGTAAGATATTGGTGCACCTGCAAAATGTTCAATTCGATTGCTCTTGGTATATAATACAGGACATCCGACATTATTTGCACTGCTTGCCAACTTCGACGTCAATTGCCACCCCTTTGTTTCAAAAAGACCTGCCTGCTGCTATCACCTGATGGTTCAGACATAGCCATCTTCTCAGAAGGCTTTAGTGTCTTCTCCTCAGATATCTCTGTCTTTGGGTGAGCTTTGGCGGTCTTTTCCTTGGATGCAATCAAACCCATGAGAGTTATGTAAACTGATTGTCTGGAGATTGGTCTAGGCCAAACTCACAGAGAACAGAGCGCTGCCCCCCAGCTACTAAGTCACCAACTGGACGCTTGACAGGCTCTGGCTTTGTCTGGCACAGCTTGTCCGAAGCTTGGCTCATGTGTTGTCTGCAAGCAATCCCTTGGGCCTCCATGAGACCCAAGGCCGCCGCCTGGCGTGGTTGGCGTCGGCGTGGTTCGTTTCTTCAAAAGGATCTCGGGAACAGCACTGTTCTGTTGGCTGTTCTTATTGTCCAAACATTTTGTTCCTGACGTTTTTTTGCTTGAACCTAGCTTCTGCACAAAGTCAAGACCTCTAGATGGATGGCCGAGTGTGCAGAAGTATGCGCTTTGAGAGACATATCACCTTTACAAGTTCCTTGCCTCAGCCATGACCGCCGCCTTAAATTGGCCGCGGATAGTGCCGGGGTGCTCATTTCTGCTCTCAAAAGGCAAAACTCTTCCGAACACACCCGGCACACACAGAAGTCGCTGCTATCAAATGAAACCGCCACTATAGAGTCTCAAAGAGCATATTTCACCCTCCACCAACCCTGCAAGGTCAGTGAGAGCGTTTGAAAGCCAAAGCACATGCCGGTCAGAGTTGCTGATCTTCTTGGGAGCTTTGTGGCGTTCATCGTCGGAGTCGCCTCCTATGAGCCTTGGCGGAGGATGTCCCACGCTTCACAAAACAATGCTTGCCGCACTGCTTGCCTTCACGCGACTATTTTGACAAAGAGTTTGTGTTGTCCTTTATGTTGTTAGGGTTCAACCTGTTAAACATCAACACGTTCGAGCGGAAAGATCTTCATCTACAAAAGAGTTCCCCACAACTTCATGATCCAAACTCTTGGTTTTGAAATGAGTGCAGATCTTCCCACGCCAACAATTGGCCCCCAAAACCCTATCCTTTACAAGAAGGCTTGACGTGCAGCTCGGTCACCGCCCAAAGCCGCCAAAACCCCAAACCATTGGATTTCGCACGGCTCCACAAAAGTGTTGGACTGAGTCATCTGGGTGGCTGTCTGCAATACATGTGAGCAAACCAAGACCAACTCTCACATTTTTTGTAGGCCTTGTATAGGTCGTTTGTTCTCATTTTTCTCTGAAATTCAATAGCAACAAAATGGCCTTGAAACAGACTGCATATAATTGCAATCGGCCAGTTCGTGAACCACAACTGACTACTGGCTGGCAGAGTGTGAGTGTGCTGGCCATATGTGCAAACATGTTCGTGGTCACAACACTTGTTGTCCCACACAACTAGCGACATCGCTGACCAAAACCAACTCGAAAACTCAGCCAAAAACGGCAGTTGTCGCATGTAGAGTGCAAAGCTAACATCGTCGACAGTCTGAAATCAATTAGTGACACTAATTTGGCATGTCTTTCTGTCCTTTCCTGCGCTCGATGAAGCAATTGCAGTTGTTTTGGAACTGACGATCAAACCAGTGTGAACAAAACTTGTCCATTGCAAAGTCACGGTCACGTTGTTCCAGCTTCAAGGAGCAACCAGCACTTGTGGCAATGTAAATTTTTTGGCAGATCGCGGAGAACAGATTCAAGTTGAAAAGATCCAAGCACATGTGACTTTGGATAAGGTGCAGGAAGAAATTCGCGAACTTTGTTGGCAGAACCACCAAATTGACCATGCTGAATGTTTCTAAAGACCGTCAAAAAAGTTGTTAAACAAATTTGTAACCCAACGAGCTCGATTGCATATCATGGTTTCCGCAGCGAACAATCGTCCTGCCCTCACCGAAGATAAGGAAAATATGTTTACACTTGATCCCTCATGGCCCCACACAACACGTTTGTCCTTGACGTCGATGGCAAGAGACGTGGCCAAATATGTCAGGAACAAAACAACTGGCCAACTGCGTTCACTCCTTGTGAAACCACATGGACGGCGCAGCAGACTTTTTCACAGTCCCGAGCCAAAAGCACGGCATTCGGATTTCGGCAAACGTCTCACGTGGCCAAAAGTCTCTGACTCTTGAGTTCAACACTCAAAAGAGCACGAGTGCTTTGAGAAGCTTCTCCACGAAGTCTTCCAACACCACTTCAAAAAAATCACCCACAAACATGTTCCTAAGAAATGGTCAAAGCTGCATCCCGTCCAAACACCAAGAAAGGACCCCAAAACACAGAGAGGCACCACTGCAAGAGGCTGCAAAAAAGCAGAACTCCAAACGATCTCACAAGGCCCGAACCCAACAGCACCGCAAGCATCAAGCGACCTTTTGCGCGACACACAAACCAACGCAAGGTGCTTTACAGTGTGTACATCTGTGCATGTCTAGTTTCTTTAAACTCTATCGCTCCATCCTCTTGAAGGTGAACCGAAAACAAGTGTGGTTCGTCCGAAAACGATGTTCAAACGATTCCCGCAAGGCGAACGAACCTATTGTGGATTCCATTGGACCCAAAAGTCACCCTAGTGACGTCCAACCCTTCTAATTCCATCAAGATCACTGAGATCTCTTTCGTGCCACCACTCTAGCACCCAACAGGAGGTTATGAACCCCAAAACCAAACGAGCAAACACATCCTCGGACACACCTCGCGGGTGCACCCCCAGTGTGGCTGATGTCATCACTTGGGAGGAAACCCAAAAGAGGGGGAAGACAAAAGCAACCAAACACATAACCTCCCAGGTATGCAATGTGAGTGTGTGTGGTTTACAAACAATATCCACAGGATGGATGTCGTGGGCATCCATCAAACATTCACACAATCCACCAACACGTAGATGCTCCAAAGAGCATCGAGAGTGTCTCCAACATACACAGCTGCTCCGAAGAGCATCCAAAAGTCCTTCAAACACTATCGTCCGGAGACGATACCATGCATATGGTTCTCTAGATCCTAACCTGAAGGTGAACCCAAGCACATAATTGTCGCCTGAAACCGATACCGTGCACATCAAGACCTGCAACTGTCGAAAGTGCTTCCCTTCAAGTCTATTGCTACTTAGTCAGGGCCCTAAAGGTTCACTTACAATAGGTTCATCTATTCATAATTTATACAAATCAAATACTTAAGAATAGATGGTTAGTACAATATCTTGTATTATTCATTTAATTCTCTTTTTTCTATAGCAATCGGGGGCAGGTCTCTCGATGCGGTTCTGTCACCGCTGCTCGTGGACGGAGGGCTAGGCACGAAATGCAACGGCAACTAGCAAACAGCGCATCTCGGCTAAGCGAGCCTCATGTGAATCGGATTGCATCCATCAAAGAAGAGCCGAAGGACCAGTGATCAAGACCTGGCCAGTTGCAACGCTAGGTTGGGCGCACTGCCGAAGAACAGCAAGGGAGTCACTGATCGTTCGACTGGCAGATGGAGGTGGTCAGACACTGGTCGATCATAGCTTACGAGATGGTGTCGTATTAGTTGCCATGGATCGAACATCAAATCGAGAAAGGTTTCGATGGATAGGATGCTGCAAAGTGAGTTATGCTGGAACCGGCACGCACGAAACAGCACTGTTAGGGACAGGGCGGGTGAAAAGTTGAACGTGTTCAAGAATCTGGGTTACATGAACTCTAAACAAGTTTGAAGATCTGTTCATGTCATGTTCTACCCATGACCGACCTCTGATGGTCACCCATGGGTGTTCTTTTGCTTTGGTGTGGCGCACTTGCTACTTGACATTTACGATATGGCTCTGATGAGCTCAGGCCATGTCCGTGCACTAGTAAAGGCGACTGTGGCCGGTCAAGGGCACGGAGGTGGTGGACATTGCAAACAAACGTAGCTGCAGGCAACCTACAGACCTGCATGGACCTGGTGAAACAGGTGAAACCGAAATATTCCCTAGCATGGTACTTTGCGCCAAGATTGGCTGAGCGCAGACTCCCCCAGACGAAACTGAGGTTCTCACCTAGCTCACTTGCAGCGAAAGGTTTAGACACTGTTGGCAGGCAATTTGTTGAAAGTCATGGCCACCAATGGAGGCATCAGTGATTCCCCGATCACGTCCTTCTCGACATTGGAAGTTGGCCACAAGATCCTGGTATGAACACAGGAAGCGCTAAGCATGACAGGGCCCTCCCTAATCCATGCATTGTTTACACCTCCTGGAATGAATAATCGCGTAGATCATAAGGGGTACGACAACAAACGCACGTGCTCCGGTGGAGACAGCATGCGAAATTGTAGAGCTAACCTTAGCATCCATGCCAAAATCATCTACTTCAATACGTTAACCCTGAGTCTGTTCTATTACTCGCAATCTCATCGATACTTTTCCCCTCCACTGCTGAAGCCAATCTATCAGGAATGAGTGGCCTCAAGGGCTTCGACATAAGGGATTTAGACATTGGAAGTTGGCCACCAGATCCTGGTATGAACACAGGAAGCGTGAAGCATGCCATGGTTCTCTTCCTAAACCTTGCGTTACTTACACCTCCTGGAGTTAAACGATGCGTAGAGCGTGCAGTTCATTGGGCTGAAACTGAGAAATGCTCCTCCTGTTTGTCTGCTCAATATTTACCAATTTGTTTAGGTTGATAGGACGGCAAGCCTATACTTCTGAACAACTTGAGTATTGCATACTCAAAGAAGGGAGCCTTGCCAATCATGCTCTGCAACAGTCTGCTTTAGGTCACTGGGACTCTAGGTCTCTATAGGAGAGGCCTCTGCAAGACAAAACTCAAGTGTCACGGCATGTCCTTCATTCCCTAATAGACAAAGACGAAAGCCTTTTGGTTGATACCCTTCATCCTTACTGAAACAAACACGAACGCACTTAGATTGATGGGACGGCAAATCTGTGCTTCTGGATGGCTGATAAATGTACGTGTCTACAACACAAGTTCGCGGCTGCATTAGTTTAGCAGGAGACGACAAATTACGCCCGTAGCTTACAAGACAACAACCTGTGAGTCACAGTGTTGGTGGCTTAGATTTCTTGCAACCTCCCTGCAAACCAACAGGTAAAACATGAGTACTGCATACCCGAAGAAGGGAGTCTTGCAAATCATACCCTTCAACAGTCTGCTTTAGGTTCGCTAAGACTCAAGATCTCTGAAGGAAAGGCCTTGGTCTTTGCAAGACACAGCTTCAGCTTAACGGCATGAGTTGTCCAGTTTTCCTGCTGCCCCCCCACCAGTAGACAGGAATGGCCAGGCGTACTGTGGACAGTGACTGAGGTCACCTCTTTGAAAGGGCGGACTGCGGACTGTAGACAAAAACGGCAAAACGACACTCGAGACAACACTTAGGATAATCTCCAAGGCACAAGGCGATGAACGAAAGGACTTAAGGCTATTAGCCGATGAATATACATTGCCACGACCAAACTTCGCGGCTGCATGTGACCGGCAATAGACGAAATTTGCGCCTGCAGCTTGCAAGACAAATGAATAGAGAAATAATAAAGTTGAGTC